GAGAGCCCCCTGGTTAGCTAGGACCACAAGCATGCACCACTGTGCCCCGGCCTGTTTATTAGTAGTTTGGGCCAGAATTGAATGCAGGCCTTCTGTGCAGCCTCAGCCACTGCACACTCCTACTGTCCCACTTGTACCATCACAGCGGGGCCAGAAATTTTTAATTTTGGTAAACCAATACGTTTCTTTTTTCCCCCCTTTTATACTTAGTGCTTTTGTGTTATGAAAGAAATCTTTGCCTACCCTGAAATTACAAACTTATTTCCCTGTGTTTTCTTCTGGAAGCCTTACAGGTTTAGTTTTTATGTTTAGGTCCACAGTCAATCTGGGTTCATTTTTGTTTATGGTGTGAATGGTTTGTCAAGATTTGTTTATTTCCCATATGGGGTGTAAGTTGTTTCATGTGGATTTTGAGCCTTTTGTTGAAAGATTTTTCTTCACTCACTGAATTGCATTGACCTTTGTCCAAACTCCACTGATAGACATATGGCTCTATTTCTGGATTCCAGTTTTCTTATGCCAACCAATACCACACTATTTTATGACTGATATGTTAAGGCTATCTATTTGGTTATTGGAAAAATCATGACACATTTTTGCATTAAAAAATATAGAAAAGTATGTCATGACTTTTCCAATAATTCAAAAGATTCTATTGTCTTTTTTTAAAAGATTGTTCAGTTTTACTCTAATAGGCAGTTCAATTACCCACAAAACCTTTGATCATGTCAAAAGGCTTCCTCTTATCCTTCCCGTGTGAACTGGAATATGGCATGTCAAGTCTGAGTCTCAGCGTGAATACTCCATATTGTCTGGGCTGAAATCCCATTGTCTCTCAGCTGCGCATGACCTCGAGTATTCCCATTCAGTTCTCAGTCCCATAACAGGCCAGCTCTTCACCCTTTCTGACAAAGTCTTATTCTGTGCATGTGCAGCCCAGGCTTCTGACAAAAACTGCCCACCCACCCTCCAGCCGCCCTCCTCCCTCCCTCTGTGCTGCTCTGCCCATTCTGGTATCTTGCCTCACATGTGCTAGCCCCTGCGACAGCACAGAACTCAGATCTGCCCACTCAGCAAGACTCCCACTCTGCTTGGGCTCCATCTCCCTGCACCACAGTAAGAAAGTTCCCCAGAATGAAAGTTAGAGTGTTCATGGCACTCACCTCCCATTTCCTTTCTCTCAAAAAACATACCTAAGTGGCTTGGTGCCTAAAAGTATGGATTCAGTTGTCTTGTATATTTTTGTCCAGCTTCATAGTATTTTATGGTAGGAGGGAGAATCCAGTTCCAGTTAGTTTCTCATGGCCTGTACTGTAAATTGGGCTTCGCTTTTGGATGTAATATTGAATTTTTGGTATTTGTGGAACATCCAAGTAGAAATACCCAATAGGTTGGGACCAATGGGTGACGTGGTTAAGATGCTGGACTCCCACATGGCCAACCACAGTTTGAGTCCTGGATCTGAAGGCTTGAAAATCATGCTGGATGCATGTGTGTGCATGCCCAAAATCTCAAGAGGAGAATAGAGGAGAAGGGATTGCAATGTGGCAGTCCCCCCTTGGGGGGTGATTTCTCACTTTCCCTCCCACTGTCTCTCTCTGTCTCTCCAGAGAGCGCACACAACCTATGGAAAAACCTTAAAAAAAAAAAAGGGAAAATAAATGCCCAATAGACAATTGGGTGATATTCTTGTGTGGAGCTTGAAAGAGACAATTGGCACTCAAGGTTCTGATTTTGTAGTTGTGCATTTACAGTGGTAGTTCCAAGGGGATGGATGTGATTGCTTAGTTGCAGGATGGATAGAGAAAGAGTAGATGAGCATTCTTCTCTTAAAAAGACCAGACCGAGAAAGTACAGCTGACAGGTGAGTGAGGAACAGGAGACTTCAATGTCTCAGGAACCACCATAAATGAAGTGGCGTTCATTTGGAAGAGCTGCAAGTGGCAGGAGCCCAGTGTTTTCATTATAATGCTGAATGGTCCAGAGCACAGCTTTCTCCAGTGCTGCTGAGCACTTGCTATCACCTCACCAGGTGATTGTTATAAAGCACCTACATGGGCCACCCAGTGGTCTAGTGGTTGAGCGAGCTGGATTCCACATGGCCAACCATGGTTCAAATCCTGGCCCAGGCAGCTTGAAAAACACACTAGGTGGGGAACCAGCAGTTAGCATAATGGTTATGTTGCTGGACTCCCACGTAGCCGACCATGGTTCGCGTCCTGGACCCGGTGGCTTAACACTCAGGCCGGGCACATGTGCGTGCGTGCCCAAGATCCCGAGAGGAGAATGGGGGAGAAGGGATTGTGGCATGACCATCCCCCCTGGGGGGGATTTCTTGCTTTCTGTCTCTATGTCTCTCTGTCTGTCTGGCAAGTGCAGGCGCCCTATAGCGAAACCCTTTCAAAAAAAAAAAAAACACACTAGGTGCATGTGGGGGCATACCCATCTCAAATCCTAACAGGATGGAGAAATGGAGGAGAAGGGATTGTAGCATGACCATCCCACATTGGTGGGGTGCTTTCTTTTCTCACCTTCTTTGTCTCTTCTTTAGCAAGCACCGAAACTTTTTGACAATTAAAAAAAAAAAAAAATAGGGGCCAGCAGTTGGCATAATGGCTGTGTCACTGGACTCCCATGTAGTCTACCATGGTTTGAGTACCGGACCTGGTGGCTTAAACTCATGTCGGGCATGTGTGCATGCATGCCCAAGATCCCGAGAGGAGAATGGAGGAGAAGGAATTGTGACGTGGCTATCCCCTCTGGGGGGTGATTTCTTGCTTTCTGTCCCTCTGTCTCTCTCTGTTTTTCTGGAGAGCACACACGCCAAAAACATCTCCAGAAAAAAAGAGCCTATTTACCTGGGTCCCAGGACTAATCTGTGGAGTTAAAGTCACACCATTCTTAAGGACATTCAGCAGTTCTTCCAGACATAATCACACACTTTGTGCTTTTACTGTCCTTGACAGATACCTGATAAATATGATCATCATTTTCATAAATTTGAGAAGAAAACCAAGGACCCGAGAGGTTAGTGTTTTGATTGAGGTCAGCCGTGGATCCATCCCTTGTTATCTATGACTACAGTCTCCCTCTGAGAGGTTGGTTCCAGGACCTCTGCGGATACCTAAATCCACAGGAGCTCTTGGACGCCCACGTAGTCGACCACGGTTCGTGTCCACAGGAGCTCAGTTGCCTATGTGAAATGGCATAGCATCTGCATATAACCAGTGCACATCTTCCTGAATACTTTAAACCATCTCTAGATTATCCAGCATACCTAATACTATGGAAGTGGTCATACTGTATTGTTTAGAGGATAATGACAAGGAAAAAGCCTATACACGTTTAGTCCAGATGCAACCACTTTTTTGATTCATGGTTGATTGAAATTATAGCGGTATAACCCATAAATATGAAGGGTCAATTGTATGATTTCAAACTGGGGACTTGGGGACCAGCAGATGGCGTAACGGTTATGCCACTGGACTCCCACATGGTTGACCACCGTTCAAGTCCTGGACCCAGTGGCTTGAAAATCACGCCAGGTACGTGCATGTGCATGCCAAAGATCCTGGGAGGAGAATAGAGGAGAGAGGATTGCGGAGAGGCCATCCCCACTAGGGGCTGATTTCTTACTTTCCCTGTCACTATCTCTGTCTCTCTCTCCAGCAAGTACATGTGCCTGCCTTAAGGCTAAAACCTCTTAAAATAAAAATAAACTGGGAAGTTGTTCTAGTTCATCTAACTTTACCTCCTTGGTTTTTTTAGGTGAAGGAATTGACACACTTAAGTGAGAGGGCTTTAATCAGGTATAAGGAACAGAAATTCAGTGAAGCCAGCTTACACCCAAAAGAGAATTTATTTTAAGAGTAAAGAGCTATGTTGTGGCATTCAAAGGGCAATTAAAAAGCTGAGCTTTGAGAACAGGCCAGAGCTATGACCTGCTGTGGGGAAACAGGATGTCCCTTGTGTCTGCCCTTTCTCTGTGTTTCTGTCTCTGATTCACTCTTTTTTTTTTTTAGCGGTTTTTGCTCTAAGGTGCGTGCGCTCTCCAGAAAGAGAGAGAGAGACAGAGAGACAGAAAGCGAGAAATCAGCCCCCGGGGGGATGGCCACGCTGCAATCCCTTCTCCTCCATTCTCCTCTCAGGATCTTGTACACTCACGCACATGCACCCAGCGTGAGTTTAAGCCACCAGGTCCAGGACTTGAACCGTGGTCGTCTACGTGGGAGTTCAGCGTCTCTGATTCACTCTTGTCTCAATGTATTCCAGCTTCTTCTGCGTCTCTCCTCCCCAGGGGAACTTGATCACCAGCAACCATCCCTGAGTGTAGAGCTTAGGAAAGATGCCAACCATCGTGGGGAGGACACATTCCAACCACAGCACTGTTCTTGATTTTAACGAAGGAGAGATAACGAGGACATACACTGTAGATTTGATGCTCTGAAGGAGAAGGAATTCACACCAGTGGGCTTCAGTTTTTTCTGTGAAATATGAGACTAGGTCATTCTCTGAGGGTGATGGAGAAGGGCCTGTAGGTAGAAGGCTCCAGTCACAATCCTCAGGATCCTGTGACCCTCCAGCCACCTCTAGTCACTACCTCAGGATGGCAGAAGTGGACTCACTTTATGGGGCCTCCTGGCTCCTTTTTAATTTTCACTTTTTATCTCTATACCTTTCTGCTTGACTTTCATGCCACAAGTGGTTTAAGAAGGAGGGAAACCTGACTCCAACAGTTCTGGGGTCATGTCTTTACAGAGGCTGACCAAAGAGAATAGAGAGCCTTCTCTGCTAATTCCAGGTGGACAAACTCCCCTGAGAGGGATTCTGATGGAGGGGATGGAGGGAATGGGGAGTGATGAAGGGAATGGAGTTCTCTGCTGGACTGAGCTTTGTTCACTTGCTCACACCTGGGGTAGGGAGATGGGAGGGGATGCTTTAAGAAGGGGAATGGTAAGCAGGGTAGAAAGAAACTCTTGTGTTTTGTGTCTGTCTCTTAGGCGACCATGGAGGCCGGCGGCCTGCCTCTGGAGCTGTGGCGCATGATCTTAGCCTACCTGCACCTTCCTGATCTGGGCCGCTGCAGCCTGGTGTGCAGGGCCTGGTATGAGCTGATCCTCAGTCTCGACAGTACCCGCTGGCGGCAGCTGTGTCTGGATTGTACTGAATGCCGTCACCCCAACTGGCCCAACCAGCCTGATGTGGAGCCTGAGTCCTGGAGGGAGGCCTTCAAGCAGCATTACCTCGCCTCCAAAACATGGACCAAGAATGCCCTTGACCTAGAGTCCTCTGTCTGCTTTTCTCTGTTCCGTCGGAGGAGAGAACGGCGTACCCTCAGTGTTGGGCCAGGCCATGAGTTTGACAGCCTGGGCAGTGCCTTGGCCATGGCCAGCCTCTATGACCGAATCGTGCTGTTCCCAGGTGTGTACGAAGAACAAGGAGAAATCATCCTGAAGGTGCCTGTGGAGATTGTAGGCCATGGGAAGCTAGGCGAGGTGGCCCTGCTAGCCAGCATCGATCAGCACTGCTCAACCACACGCCTGTGCAACCTCGTCTTCATGCCAGCCTGGTTCTCACCCATCATGTATAAGGTATCCATGTAAAATAGATGGCTTTCCCAGTCCTCACTCCAGGAGCTCGGCCTCTTGTGGCTGGACCCATAGTCCCTATTTTGTTAGAACTGAGAGTTTAGTAGTATTCCTGCATACATTCCTCCGCTATCTGAATCAGCTGAGAAATAGCACAAGGATCCGTACAGTATTCTGCATTTGTTTTTCCTGGAAAAGTTGTATTGAAAATGAGTCTTAGGCTTGAGGCCAAAATTGCCTTTGTACTTCTTCCCTTCCCAAATGGACCAACAGGATCCACAGGTGTAGGGGGTAAACCTGGGTTCTGGGAGTGTGCCACATGGCGACAGGAAGCAGAGAACATGTTAGCTGCTCATGGCAGAGACCCAAAGGGAGAGGAGGCCATGCAGGACCAGCAACATTCAGCACATAAACCCTACCTTGTACAGGGTCAAAGGTCTGAATTTTACCAGAATTAACCACTTCCCAAGGGTGCCTGGAGAGACTGAGTCAGGAAACACTAGTCTGACACATTCCTCTCACGACCACAGAGCAATCATGGTCAAAGCAAAACATGTATCAAGATGTCGGTAGTTCCTGACGTAACAATCTACAGCTTATACATTGCCTAGAAACTGATTGCAGTACCTAGTCAATTAAAATTAAATTGCCATTATTGTTTATAAAAATAGCTTTATTTTCCCTCCTGCTTGTAATGAGCATTATACCACCAGCCATTTATGATGTGCTTACTATATTCTAGGCATACGCTGTACAGCCATTACTGCGTTTATTCCTCTCTACAGCATTATTAGATGGGTGGCGTCATCTGATTTTATACATGAGGAAGCCGAGGCTCAACAAGGTTAAGTGACATGCCCAGGGACTGAGGCGTAGTAAGGACATGGTTAGGATCCAGGGTCTCCATGCATAATCTAGATGACTTTACATCTGTGACCTCCTCCGATTCCCACTACAAACATTTATGGTAGACAGAGTAGATGGTGATCACCATTTGCAGATGAGGTGTACTGAAGGTCAGAGATGCTGAGTCACTTTTTCAGGGGAAGAATTGGTGAGATTAGAGCTCAAATCCAGGGCCAGCAGGTGGCATGGTGTTTGGGGTGCTGGATTCCCACATGGCCGACCGTGGTTCAAGTCCTGGACCTATTGGCTTGCTTTCTCATTCTCCCTTTCTTTCTCTCTCTCTGATAAGATTAAAGAATAACAATAATTAATTCTTTTTTTTTAAAGAGCTCAAATCCAGGTTCTCTGATTCTTTTTTTTTTTTAAGATTTAATTTTATTTATTTATTCATTTATTTTAATTTGACCAAAGCAAGAGATACATGCACACAGAGTGAAGGAAAGTGAGAAAGCAAGGCAACAGGTCTGGGACTTGAACCGTAGTCAGTCATGTGGGAGTGTCCAACACCCTAACCATCACGCCACCTGCTGGCCCCAGGCTCTCTGATTCTAAGAACTATAAAATCACATTGTGATGGTTTCCCTTAGAGATCAAAAGCTTGCTTTTTGGTCCTAGTGTGCTTCAGGACTTAGGCCAGCCCATGGATCTAGAAGGAAAGTTCTTATTTATTTATTTATTTATTTAAATTTTTTTGGAAGAGGTTTTTGCTGTAGGGTACACAGACTCACCCAAAAGACAGAGGGAGGCAGAGTGACAGAAAAAAGAGAAATCCCCTAGGGGATGGTCATGCTGCAATCCCTTCTCCATCCTCCTCCTGGGATTTTGGGCACACACACACACATGCCCAGTGTAAGTTTCAAGCCTTTTGGTCTGGGACTCAAAATGTGGTTGGCCACGTGGGAGTTCCAGCAACATAACCATTATGCCATCTGTTGGTCCCAGGAAAGTTCATTTTTCAGCAAGAGACGGTGTTCCTGACCCTTCAGGTTTTTTGGGTTTTGTTTTTGTTTATATTTTTTTAAAGAGATTTTTGCTATTTTTGCGTGCGCTCACTGAAGAAACAGAATGAGACAGAGAGACAGAAAGTGAGAAATCACCCTCCAGGGGGGATAGCCACACTGTAATCCCTTTTCCTACATTCCCGTCTTGGGATTTTCAGCACACACATGCTCACGCCCAGCATGTTTGCAAGCCACCAGGCCCAGGATTTAAACCACTCAGTTGGTCATGTGGGATCCCCAGCACCTTGACCACCTGTCATCCTAACTGGCTAGAAGGTGTGGGTAGGGAGAGAATGAAATGTGTCAAGGCCCTGTTGGGGATCTGTGTGTGTGTGAGAGAGAGATAAAAGGGAGGGAAGGATGGAGGAGAAAAGAAGGAAGGAATTAATTCTAAGTGTTTCATAGGTGTTCAGGAAGAGCCATGTTGTAGAATAAAATGAACTTTTCTACTGTCATCTACTTGTGTTCCCCTTCTGTGGGATTAGAAGGATGAAGGGTGGGCAGCTCCCCAGTTCCTCTTGGGACCAGCTGTCACCTGTCCTGGTGGGAAGGGGAATGATCAGCAGAACAAAAGGCCTTTCCATGTCCCACCCTCCTTAAAGAACAGAGTGCTGACCAGCAAAACCAATCTTCTCTCTCTTACTGCCATTTTCTCTTTCCGTTCTCCAGACGACATCAGGTCATGTACAGTTTGACAACTGCAACTTTGAAAACGGACACATCCAGGTGCATGGCCCAGGTACCTGCCAAGTGAAGTTTTGCACCTTCAAAAACACCCATGTCTTCCTGCACAACGTACCCCTGTGTGTCCTGGAAAACTGTGAATTTGTGGGCAGTGAGAACAACTCTGTGACTGTTGAGGGTCACCCATCTGCAGATAAAAACTGGGCCTACAAGTACCTACTGGGACTTATCAAGTCCTCTCCCAGTTTGATCCCCACGGAAGACTCTGACTTTTTAATGTCCCTCGACCTAGAGAGTCGCGACCAGGCCTGGAGCCCAAGAACTTGTGACATTGTTATCGAGGGCAGCCAGAGCCCTACCAGCCCAGCCTCTAGCTCCCCAAAGCCAGGCTCCAAGGCTGGCTCACAGGAGGCAGAAGTGGGTAGTGATGGAGAAAGGGTGGCCCAGACCCCAGACAGCAGCGATGGAGGCCTGAGTCCCAGTGGTGAGGACGAGGACGAGGACCAGCTCATGTACAGACTGTCCTATCAAGTACAGGGCCCGCGCCCTGTGCTTGGGGGCTCCTTTCTGGGCCCACCCTTGCCGGGAGCATCCATTCAGCTGCCTAGCTGTCTAGTGCTGAACTCGCTGCAGCAGGAGCTGCAAAAGGACAAGGAGGCCATGGCACTGGCCAGCTCTGTGCAGGGCTGCCTCATCCGCAAGTGCCTCTTCCGGGATGGGAAGGGAGGTGTCTTTGTCTGCTCCTATGGCCGGGCCAAGATGGAGGGGAACATCTTCCGGAACCTGACTTACGCAGTGCGGTGTATACATAATAGCAAGGTGCTGTTACAAGCGCTTACTCCGTAGACCTCTGAGGCCCCGTGGGGTCAGCAGAAGCATAATATTTGATTGGTGAGAGGGTTCCTTTTGATTATAGGAAGAGTTTGATGGAGCTATTTGGTTGCCAGGAAAGTCATGACGCATTTTTGCATAGAAAAATGTTATGACTTTTCTGACAACCTAAAATTTTGCTACCTAAAAATAAAATCTTCCCTTTTCAAGCTTATTGACACACTTTCCATCATCTGCTGTGGACAGGGCAGAAATTGTTCTTCCCATTTCACAGTAAAGGAAACAGGCCCGGGGAGGAAAGATGATTTACTCAGGGGGCACGCAGCAAGTTGAGGCAGAATTGAAACTAGAAACCCAGCTTTGTGCCTCTTTTCAGTATGCCATGCTGCTGCTTGAACATGTCACCCAAGTCCTACTTGAAGAAACAAGGTCTTTTTGGTCCATGAGAGGAAATTCAGGGGGATGTGGTCACTGCTTTCAAATCAAACTTGAGTGGGGTAGTTGAGAAGGCTGGCCAGGGGAAGAGAGATCTGTGCTGCGCAGGGTAAATAGAACAAAACAAAACAAAGAGTGAAGGGTTTTTTTTCTTCTGTTCCCTTCTTGAGTTCATCAGGGTTTGCTGCACTTCCCCAGATTGCTTAAGGTTCTTCTGTTTGAAAGTTATGAGGAAAGAATCCAGGAGGGGATCAGTGCCTTCCTCAGTGACTGCTATGCTTTTCCCCAAGCCTGCTCTAGAAGGAGGCTGTCTTCCAGTCTCTTGTCCTGCTCCCAGTCTCTCTCCCTGAGCACCTGGGGAGGTGAGTGGAGAAGTGAGGAGACAGAGTACTCCCGGAGTTTCCGCACTCGCACGCAGTTACAGTTAGCCTGTAACAACGCGTTCCGAATGAGAGCTCACTTCTTAGCGGCCGCAGTGGCACCTGCATCCGTCAGACAAGCACGTACCCACATTCCCTTCCTCGAAGGCTCTTGTCTAGATTTCTAGCTGGTTGTCCTGCAATCTCAGCTCTTGAGTGATCTCAAGCAAGGTTAGGTTTTTCAAATAAGATTCTTTTCTTATAGTAAGTGGCAGCATGCCCTTCCTAACTTTCTCCATCAAAGCAGGAGCTGCAATTTTACTTCCATTCTATTTTTCTCCTCCTAGAGTTTTATCCTAATGCAATATGTTGTTTATTAGTAGTACATAATCCGTCATAATTTTATTTTTAATACAATGATTTAAAACAATATAAATGTACTAAGTATAAAAAATATAATTGGAAATATAGTCTCTTAATTAGCCAAATGTTGGGTTATGGTATTAAAGGAGGCTTTTTATACCAATATTTATTTTTTTAAGAATTATTTTAGGGACCAGCAGTTAGCGTAATGGCTATGTCACTGAACTCCCATGTAGTCGACTGCGGCTCAAGTCCCGGACCCAGAGGCTTAAACTCAGGCCGGGCACGTGTGTGTGCATGCCCAAGATCCCAAGAGGAGAATGGAGGAGAAGGAATTGCAGTGTGGCCACCCCTTGCCCCAGGGTGATTACTTCTCGCTTTCTATCTCTGTCTCTCTCTGTCTTTCTGGCGAGCACACGCGCCCTATAACAACAACAAAAAAAACTCTCAAAAAAAAATTATTTTATTTATTTATTTATTTTAACTTGACCAGATTACGACAGAGCGAGAGAGAGATAGAAAGTAAACTCCCAGGTTCAGGACTCAAACTGCAGTTGTGTATGTGGGAGTCTAGCATCCCAACCACCATGCCACTTGTTGGCCCCTATACCAGTATTTTTGTAATTATTAATTTTATTTGTTATTATTATTCAATTTTATGAGAGAGAGAGAAAAAAAAGCAAGCTGCCAGGTCCAAGATTTGAACTGCAGTTGGCCATGTGGAAGTCCAATGCCCCAACCTCCAAGTCACTTGCTGACCCCAATATACCAGTATTTCTAATTGTCCTTTACTTTAGAGTCACAGTGACTTTTCCAGCTAGGATAATATACCAAGAAAAACTCAGATTGGGCAAAACAGACCTTTTAAAAAAAAATAATGAATTTTAAGTTAAGAATCTTCCTTTTTTTTTTTTTTATTTTTTTGGAGAGGTTTTTGCTATAGGGCACGTGCGCTCGCCAGACAGACAGAGAGAGACATAGAGACAGAAAGCGAGAAATCACCCCCCAGGG